TGCCATCAATGACCCAGAATGCCAGGCCCAGAGATCAAGGCCACATCTCCTGAGTTTTACCTTCAGGGAGTGGGATAGGAGGCTCTGGGGGACTCAGAGGAGATGCCCTATGGGGCATCCCAGATGTGGTCAGGCCCCATGCCGGGGTTTGGTGACACTTCCCACTTGCCTTTCAGGATCTCCTACTGCACAGCAGACAAGATGCACGACAAAGTGTTTGCGTACATCGCACAGAGCCAGCACAACGAGAATCTCGAGTGCCATGCCTTCCTCTGCACCAAGCGGAAAATGGTCAGTGCGGAGAGGCTGGGCCTAGGCAGGCTTTAGCTTTGCCTTGGCAACCCTGCCCTTGGGGGCTCTGTGTGGTAGGGGAGGCAGGACCCAAAGATGGCATCACTTAACAGGAAGTGTGAAATCCCCGGGGACCCCAAGACGATGCTGAGAGCACTGAGTAAGGCCACAGCCCTGTCAGAGTGGGCTGCCCCAGGCGGTCAGCCTGGCCTGTGGGTGGTGACAGGCCCGTGTCCCCAGTGAGTGCCCTGGCACCTTCCTCTCTGTAACATGAGTGATTGGATTTGAGATTTGGGTGGGGGCGGTCTGTAGTATGGTCTGGGGGTGCAGGGTCTTGTAGGAATTAGTCCTTGGGGAATGGTGATCAGAGGGTCCCGGGAATGGCAAAGGGACCTGGCTTGCTATAGCCAGAGTGGGGAGGGAAATGGCTATTTTTCGCATCTACGATGTGTGTCTTTCAGTGGTAGGCTTTAAGGGATCTTTTTGTTTAACCCTCTGTGAGGTGGCGGCTGTTACTGTCTTTATTGTTTTTATGTTTAATGAGGAAGCAGACTCACAGAGGTCAGCTGTTGCTGAAGATGACACAGCCAGCTGGGCAGAGTGAGGGTTCAAACCCATGTTCTTCCCCTCCCGGCGCGACCGTGAGGAGCCACGAGCTCCCTGCCCCAGTTTCCAGGCTACTCCCTGGCCGTGTCCGGCTGAGATGGGTGGGGCCTCAGTGGTCTCTGGGCATTTGTCTTGAACTTTGGGACAAGCAGCCAGGCTGTGTCCACCTTTGGTGTTGGGGCTTTCGTTTTGGAGGCCCCTGAGGTCTGAGCATCTGCTCTGTGAGGAGGTTCCTGACATTTCCTCGTTGAGTGTTGGCCTCCGTTGACCTCTGTGTACAGAGTCCAGAGCCCCAGTCCCCATGCCCAGTGGTCCTTGGAGCCAAGGAGACGGGATCCTCTCCCCTACCCCTCTCATCCAGGACTCGTCAAGGACATCACAGTCTTTAAGTGTCCCTCAGGCTTCCTGCTATGCATCAGGGCCTGCTTGAGATATAGTATTAGTTTCCTATTGCTGTTGTGAGAAATCACAAACTTAGTGGTTTAAAACAACCTGGATTTATTCTGCTACAGTTCTGGAGGTCAGAAGTCTTAAGTGGGTCGGCAGGGTTGTGTTCCTTTTGGAGGCTCTAGGGAAGAACACACTTCCTTGCCTTTTTTAGTCTCTAGAGGCCACCATTCCTTGGTTCTGGGCCCCTTCTCCAACCTGAGAGCCAGCGGTGAAGCCCCTTCCAGTCTCCCTCCTGCTTCCATTGTCACATTGCCATTTCTAGCTCTGACCCTCCTGCCTCCCTCTTACAAGGCCCCTTGCGATTGGGCCCTCTAGGGAATCCAGGATAATCCCCCTCCATCTCAAAATCCTCCACTCAGTCACACCTGTAAAGTCCCTTTTGTGGTGCCAGGTAGCACTCAGAGGTTCCAGGGATTAGACATGGACATCTTTTGGGGCCGTGATTCACAGGTCTTGTGTAGGGAGCACTATGGGACAAGACCAATTAGGGGTCTGATCCTGGCTGATGTGCTGTGTGACTGTGGATAAGACCCTGCCCTTCTGTGGACTGCCCGCCCATCAGCAGAATGAAGAGGTCACCTCAGTGACCTCCAGGATTGTTCTGAAAGGCCCCTTTCTTTTGTGCACCTTGTTTCTTTCCTGCAGACTCAGTGTCGCCAGACACTCACCCGAGGCCTCGTGATGCCCCAGGTCCCTGAGCTACAGTGGCTTCTCCCATGACAGCCTTGTTGTCACAGTGACTCTTGGCTTTGTCTCTTCTGAGGCCACACTGACTTAAAAATACAGGCTCATTACGTCTCCATTGTTTGTCTCTTCCTCTCCACTGACCAGAGCAGGCGCTGGGCTGGGGCAGCTGGCCCACGGCCACTGCTGCAGAATGTGGACCCTGGTGTGGAGGGGCTCTGAGCTGCAGAGGCTTCCTCTGGGAAGGGAAGGTCGGAGGCAAAAGAAAGCGGATGCTGGCCCAGCGGCTCAAGGGAGGCCTGCCCTCAGGCCAGAGGACTTTAGACAGGCCTGAACAAAATCACCCTGCCCCAGGCCAAGAGGTCAGTTATTGAGGAAAACAGCCTACCCGCTGCTTGGTGCTGACAACAGCGCCCTGATCCGGCAGAGGGAACGGCTCCTGCGGGCCGCCTGGGCCCAGGCTCTTCACTTTTCCCGGCACGTTGTCCTCTGTGCCAGGGGCTGACTGGCTCGATCACAGCGTACCCATCCTTCCCCAGCTGGCCTTCCCCCTTCAGGGAGCCTCGGGGAAGCCCCTCAGCCCGCCCAGCCCAGGGCAGTGTACGGGCCACCGGATGCAGACGCAGTGTTCTTGTGCCCCTCCTAAGGCCCCAGCCGAGCGCAAGCTGGCAGGAGCCTGGCCACGTTGGAAATGCTGAGATTCTCAGGGCTTAGTGGACACATCTGAGAAGGAGGCAGAGGTGAAACGAGGGCCTCAGGTTCTGCAGCCCACCTGCTGACAAGTGTCACTTGTCACTCCACAGACATCACTGCTGCCTGGCCCGGGGCTGAGCCCTGTGGTGGGCACTGGGGCCCCAGGGGATCGGCCATGGAGACACCAACAAGATGGTTGGGGGGGAAGAGCCAGGATTCAGTAACTGGGGGGCGTGGCTCTAGGGTGGAGGTTCTTAAATCTCACTGGAGGTCCATAAGACTTCCCAGAGCAGGAGACATTTTGAATCGAGCTTTGAGAGCTGAGTAATGAGTGGGAGTTTGCCGGCCAAGACAAAGGGGGTCCGGGTGGTGAAAGGCTGCGTGCACCCCAGCACAGGAAGCAGCATGTGCAAAGACAGGTGCAGAATTAAATGGTAGGATTGGTGGGTGAGGACTCCCATGTCACTGGAGCTGGGGTGTGGCAAAGCAGAGGCAGCCCGCCAGGGGGAACTTGAATTTGGATGCTGACATAGCCCTCATTGCTTTTGGCCGGCGGCCCACAGTCTCCACCTCCCCACTCTTTCTCGCCTGGCTGCCTGCATGAGTGAGAAGCTGTGGCCACCCGGGGTCGGGGGAAGGGGTTCCTTTCTGGGTCACCCACCGGTTCAGCTTAGCTCGGGCAGCATGCCACCAGGCCTCCCTCTCCCGGTGACTGCTGTTAGGCACGGCCAGGATGAGTTTCTCTACAAGGAAATGTTTCCATCTGCCCAGCTGGGAGGCCTCGGCCAGCACTGCAGCCTGCCTCTGGGTTCTGAAGTGAAGGTGGGGTTAGGGCTTCAGTGGGGGACCCAGGAATACAGTGCAGGTGGACTGACAGCAAGCAAGGTGACACCCCCTGATTCTACCCCGAGCAGGCGGGGGGCAGAGCTGCTCTCCCTCACGTGGGCACTGGCGTGCCTCGGGTAATCCTTTTGTGCAGGATTTATGCTTCTGGGGCAGCAGGGCCATAAGGGACACGTGGCCCGACTTGGTGGGAGTACCAAGCTAGGATCTGGGATCCTGGGGGGTCCTGAGCTAGATAGACCTGGCCCCTTGAAGGAGCTAACAGCCTGGTTACTGGGAACGAGACAGGGACATGAAACACTGGGTGTTAGAACCCAGTCCTGGTGAGAAGAACGCCACAGGCCAGAGGCATTCTGAGGAGGGCTGGGCTCGCAGCCTGTGGAGTGAGGGAAGACAGGCCTCCCGGGGGTTGGGGGGGTGGGCAGGCCCTAGCAGTCCTTTCTTGTAATGCTACCCCAGAGAGCCGGGCCCACCCCGCTCCCAGTCCCTGCCCAGCCTGGGCTTGCAGCCACCTGCACACATGTGCATCTCGGGTTATATTTGGTTTACTTACAGCTCGGCATTTCGGGGCAAAAGGGCGGGGATGTATGCAAATGAACAAGTTGATTTATGCAAAAACAGTATCAGGTTTGTGCCTGCAGATATCCTGGAGGCAAAAATCGCGGTGTTTCCATCTCCCTGCCACCTTAGGTGACCAGCCCTTTCTTGGGTGTATAGTGATTTGACTCTGGCTGCTAATCAGCCCATATTTTTAGTTCATGGGCAATTCTCAATGGTAACTGGGTCTATTAAACTTGATTCAGACGTGACAGCTTAAATTGTAAACAGCTGTGAAGAGTTTCATACTTAATTACCATATTTAGGTTTTTGCCATAAAGCGCCAGTACTTCCATCAAAAATGTAAATGACGGAGACATTCAAATGAGATTTTATACTTCGTGAAGTTTAATTGGCATGGATCAGTCAGCTTGTTTAAGGATTTTAAATTAAAAAAAAAAAAGCGTTTTGAAGGCAGTAGCCACAGCTTCATTTCTCAATTAAACCAAGTTGTCTGGTGGATGGTGTGAGAGTGGGTCTGAGACTGGTTAGGCCTGAACTTGTGCACTTGAAAGAATCTGGTGCTTTCTTCCCTAGGCCCAGGCTGTCAGACAGAAACGAGATGCCGCTTCCGGCTACAGCTGAGCTCTGGGACTCCCGCTCCCAGAAGCCGGACTGTGTTTAACCCTGAACTGGAAGCAGAGAGAGGAAGGGGCTGAGATGAATGTGGGCTGGGGCAGGTCCTGGCCAAGCAAGGCCTCAGGAGGCCTGCCCCTTGGGCAGATGGAGTGCAGCCAGCCTATTGCACCTCTGGAGGGCTTTGGCCTGCTCTGGGGATCAGGGGTGTTTAGACTAGATTCTTGCCTTTGGGCAGCGGCCCGGATAGGGTGACACAGGCATGTGAACTGGTGACACTTCCGTATGCATGATGCCAGAGAAAGGTAGGTGGAGCTGTGGGGCACCAGTGCCGGTGACCTGAGAGAGCTGGTGACGTCTGAGTCGGGTTTGAAGGGGTGGATGGGAGTTCCTCAGGGGTGAAAGGCCAAGATGTGGCCCCCTCTTACAGGTATATGGCGCTGAATGGTTTTGGTACCCTGACACAGGTACACATTGACATTTTGCTCCTGTCAGGCAATGTACAAGCCTCCTCCTCCCTTTTTTGGGATCCAGTTGTAAGTCCCTCCAACCCAGCATAGGGCTAACCAGAGTGTAACCTTTGCTTCTGACTGTGGCTCATTCAGGCAGTGACTGGGCCCTTTCCAGTTCTGGCTTTTCTGTTCTCTAATTTCAAGGACTCAGTTTCTGTGTGAAGTCCTCAGGTAATTAGGGAGGGCTCTTGGAGGAAGTAAGCCTCCTAGTTAATTGAATATAGGGAAGCCCAAAGGGAAGGGGAAAAGGTGGAGGTGAGCAGTCATTGCAAAGGTTGGGAATGGAATAGAGGTGGGAGCCGTGGCTGGGCTACAGGTGCTGAACCTGGGGCCCCCAGCTGCCTGGAGTGGTTCTGGCCTCATTACACCCCAGGCTGCTTTGGTGACCTGGGCGGGGCCAGGACTCTGCTTTTGCCTGTCTGGAAGTTCAGAGCCTTGAAGGAGCGGAGCCTCAGCCTCCGGGCCTACATTTCTCACTTGCTGTTACCTGCCTGACCTGTACCCATCCCCCACCCCGCTTCCTGTTTTTCAGGCCCAGGCTGTCACCCTCACAGTAGCCCAGGCCTTCAAAGTTGCCTTTGAGTTTTGGCAGGTGTCCAAGGAAGGTGAGCCTTGTTCAGGGACACTGTGGTGGGTGGGGGTGGAGCTGGGGAAGCTGACAGAGTAGAGAGGAGTTGGTGGGGGGAGGGG